CGGGGCGGGGAGGGCGGCGAGGGTCCGGCGGGGCCGCGGTGGCCGCGGGGCGGGCGGAGGGGCCGCGGGGCCGGGGCGGGAGCGCTGGCGGGGAGCTGGGCGATGGGAGCAGCGAGTGCGGATCGCTTGGGTTTGGGATTTGAATTATGGAGGTAAAATCCTTCTGTCAAAGCCAGGAGACAGTTGGTCTTAGGTTGACATCCCATCTGTGATCTGATTGGCTCCCCATCCCCTGCTCTTGGCCATTTATAATTGCCTCTGATGTAATGGTACAACCATCCTGATGAGCTCATAAACTTCCACACTCGCCTCCTCCGCCAGCCCCGGGACGGGGCAGCCCCGCGCCCCATCCCCGCATCCCCCCCGCCGTGACCTTGAGCCCCGCATCCTTCTGCCCCCGCTGCTTCGTGCCCCGGACAAAACGGGAGGCGGTGGCACTTTGTTTGTACCTTGGGTTTATTTTCCTTGTGATGTTGGGTTCAGCCTGGAATAGAGTCTGTGTTGTCGGAACGGTGGCAGGGCTGCTCCGCACAATGGGCTTGCTGTTTATTTTGGTTATGTGACTTTCCCTCTCGGTATAAATGATTTCTTTGATGGATCTGAGGATGCGTTTGTTCCTGCCTGGTTTTGGCCCTTTTCAGAGCTGGGGCTGTTTGGGTTCTCTCTTGGACGGGAGAAGGTGGGGGGGTTCTGGGGTGTGTTACAGCCTAAAGAAGGAAAACCCCCCAAACAATCAAAACCAAACTTGTGGCCAAAGCACTGAAAATGGTCATTTACCAGGAATTACCAATTTATGTCCAACGGGGCTTTGATGCGGGACAGGAGCCTCCAGCTGTGTGTCTTAGGGCACGTTTTGACTTACTTTGAGTGAGCACTGATGTCTCTCTTTCCCCCCATAAATAAAGGCACCTACTACAGACACTCAGGTGCTGGTTGTGGTCAGGCTCAGTAGTGTCACAACTCTTGGCTTTTCAGAGGAGTGAAACTAAGAAAAACAAACCTGAGAATTGTCTTTATCATTGTATGTGTAGAATTCTCTGTTTGCTGGAGTACAGATAGCCAGAAAACGAGGTGAACTCAATACAGTGTATATATACATCAGACATTTTAGATACGGGGAGAAGAGGTGGTTGTAGCTGGAAACCTTGATGAAAACCAGGTTCCTTTCCGTGTTCAGATGTGCATCTCCAAGGCCTGTCGTGGCCTCGTGTGGGACTGAAACTTCCCTTTTCATTCTGTGTACTTTGCTCCAACTTCAGGCTGGGGTCGGAGGCAGTTGATACCATGTGGGGTGACAATGCAGAGTTTCCCTTCTTGTTCGGAACTTCTCTCGTGCTGATCTGAAAATGGCTTAATTTTTGTTCCTTTATTACCAAGGGCACCGTCTGCTGCAGCATCTTGAGTTACTGGGTTGGCTTTTCTGTCAGGTTGGAATTCTGCTCTCCAAGAGAGCAAATCTCTCTGCTGGGGCCATCAGACCGTCCAGTGGTGACTGGTAGTGAGTGTTCCAGTGTCCTCAGGGAAGATTTCAGCTCCTTGGCAATATGGTCGCATATTCCTGCAATACATTTGGACAAATGTCATAGTTGTGAGTACAAAGTACTTCTGAGGTACTTTGTGTATCCTGAAAAGTCTCAATTTAGATAAAACGTGTGCTAAAATACTGGTTGAACTTTTCAAGCAGGTATTTTCCTACAGTTCACTTCTGTCAGTGTTCTGGTACAAATTTGGAAAAGAAGCTTATTTTGTCTCGGAAAATGAATTTCACTTGATTCCACGAGCTGCTGATATGTTGTGAATTAATAATATCTGATTAAGTAGCCCCATAAACTGGAATTATTAATGAATAGTTGTTCTGAGAATTAGTTGAACTTGATGAGGTACAAACAGTGCATATAAAAAGCGAACCAACAACTCCCCCATCCCAAAAACCAAATGACTTTCCCCCCAACTCTTTTTGTGCCAAGGATTATTGGACTCAAACTGACAATTCCTTTTTTTTGGGGGGTTTTTTTTTACCTGCTGGAAAAAGAACTTATCTAATGAAAAAAGCTTCCACGTGTCATCTGGGCTGCCCACAAGAAACGATTGATTAATAATAATACTTCAGCCCTAAATTACAGCCTCCTTGGGCTGTGTACTCCTAAATTCCACGGGTTGGGAGAATTTAAAGCTTTGTGTCTTCTCTTTGTCTTGCACAGCGGGTCCTTCCCACCCAACTTCTGAGAAACTCTGGGAGAGCAGGAGCAGAGGGGGATTCACCTGACAGTAACCCCACAGAGAACATCTCCTGGTGCAGGCTGGGAGAAGAGGATGTGGGAAGAGCACGGGGTTCCTCCACTCGGGAATCCTTGGGGTCGTAAACCCCGAGTTTGGGCGTGAGAAGCAGGATGGTGCCTTTAATTCCTGCTGCTCCTCGGGAGTTCTGAGTGATGCCATAAGGAGGGTTTCGTCGCTTTGCTCCTCAAAAAAAAGGCAAAGTAATTTCTGGCGTGAAAGTTGTTCGAGTGGGACGTTCCCTGTAGTAAAGTGAGCGTAGTCACTTACACCAGGTGGGCTCTGGTGAGTAACCCTGATGGAACTTTACTCACAGCTCGTCCCGGGGAGGTGGTGCTGAGTGGGAGCCCAGTGAAGACAAGGATGCTCCACGTTTTTGGGGACTGGGAGAGAGAGGACTCTGTGTTTTTTCCAGATGACCTTTCTAGCTGGGAAACACGGAGTAGGATCAAGAGATCGGGATGGTTGTGTGGGATGAGAAATCCGTTGTTTGCTGTGGGAATGACTCGTAAGAAACCAGGCCAGGGATTCTAGTTTTCAATTTTTCCAGCTCTCCCATGGATTTGTTTCCACCCCTTTCCCTTCAGAGAACGTGGCAGCCCTTAATAATACACTGTTTTTCCCAGTGTCTTGGGATTTAAAGGAAATTGCTTGAGTGAAAGGATTTCCCTGCCTTTAATAGATGGGCATTTCTTGTGGCACGTGCTTGGGCTACAGCAAAGTGTCTCCTGTAATGGGAGCAGCCTTTGGATCACATTAAACATTGACATCTTGGATAACCTCCCCATAGGTGCCCTGACATCTCTGGGCTTCTGTTTTTTAAGTTCAGTGAAAGCAGTTTAAAAATCATGTTAATAAAAAAACAAAAAAGCTTTTGGGCCTGTTGCCATACAATAGCTCTTTTTTGTTGACTTAGATTTCAACTTTAGTAGCAAGTGAGGCATGAAAAATGTTGTTGGAAATATGGTTTTTAAACTAAATTGGCACCAAATGGCTCTGTGCTGCCAATGAGCTGTGATGTCTTGGAATGGGAAATTGGGACCTGGCTCCTGTTGGCTCGTGCAGGGTTTTTCCTTGCTTTGCATTGTAAAGTCAGGAGCCCTCGAGTTGTGTGCTGTGCACTGGAGCTTTCCAACAAAGAGGAGTGTGGTGCATCTTCTTTTCTCTGAAAGAGTGATTTTTAGGGCTTGGCTGTTTTAGAAAAAGCAGGAATATTGTGCTAGTTTGATTTTTTTTGTTGTTGTTGCTGTTAAGGTCTTGTTAATTCTGGTGTGGACACTGGAGGTTTTGCTGCTTTGTCTTTTTAAACTCTCTGAAATAAACTAAGAGTTGCCTGATTCTCTTAAAATCTCTTGTTTCCTGCAGTATCATCTCCTTGATGCCCAATTTTGAGGTTTCCAGTGTTTTCAGGCAGGATGTGTGTAGGATACAGGACAATAAACCTCAATCCTGACTCTCAGCTGGAGCTTTTATTTTTTTCCTGCCCTTATCACCCCCGGTTTACTGGGAAACCTGGGACAAACCACCTGATTGTTGTGGTGAAATGGGGTTAGCAAGGCTTGCCTACTGCCTTTTATGAAGTTTAATTGAATTGCTCTGTGAATCCTTATTTATTTTCTGGGTTAGGGGAGGGTTTCTACCTTTGGTGTCTCTCTTGTAATCATGTTGTTGGTTGCCAGACGGAAATGTGTTTTCTGGAAGGTTTTTATGGTTGACTTTCAGGCCTTTTTTTTTTTTTTTTTTTTTTTTTTGGCTAGATTACTTAGCAGTTTCCTAAAACTGTCCAGTTTAATTCCTTTTACCTGCTGCAACTTCTGTTTCCTGCTTCTGAAAACAGGAAAACTTCCTGTTTTCCTTCAACAAACTGGCACAGCTTCTTCCCTGTTCTTAAATAATATTAGAAACTGGGTTGGGGG